CAGCTCTCTGCTTTGCCAATGCCCTGTTTTGGGGGAAGCCACCACCAGCTTTGTGAGATCTGGTTGCATAGGGTAGTGTCCTCTCAGATAGTGGGGTTTAGAAGGAATAAAGAGAAAAGGTGAACTTAAAGCTGCTGAAAAAAGGTGCACGCATGTCTGAGCTGTAACGGTCTCGGTGTAGCTGAATGCGTGGTGCCTGTCTCTTCTGTGGATGTTTATTGTAGTGATGTAACTGGTCTAACTGCTACTTCTGACCACTCGTTCCAAAATGTGCTTGTTACAGGCCACGTTGGGATAGGACTACCAGTGCAGAGGACTTGAAGCAAGCTGAGAGGGAGAGCTTTCTCGAATGGAGGCGACAGCTTGCCCAGTGAGTATGCTGCTTGTGTCTGGGTAAGTAGCTGGTGGTATTTGGAGACACAGGAAGCACCGGGTTGTATTTATCCTTGCTGGGCCAATGAAGTTAGTGCCTTGTCAGTAGCTGCCTGTACTTGTTCCAGAAGGCTGGACATCCCAGCCACAGACACGTCTTTTTGGTGAGCTCTGCAAAGCTCTCTTGGGCATGCATGTTCTTGTACTGTTTACAGTTAAAATTCTTCAGGATGGAGCGTGATGTTCTGCTTTTGCCTGTGAAGTGGAGGAGTGGTGAATGTGTCTTCCAAGAGCAACAGCGCTGCCCTGAGTAGAGCACAGTGCTGCCAGCCTGCACACAGCGGCTTGTGATGGTCAGGCGCTGCGTCTGCTAGCCTGGAGACTTAGGTAGTATCTGCTCACACCCTGCAAACTCACACTTGCCCTGAATAAAGTTCAGGTGGTGGTAACAGCAAGTCAGGGGTTGCATAGAGCCATTTTGGGTACCATCCCCAAAGGTGTTCTTTTTTTCCAAGTGGTACTTGGTTGAGTAATAACTACTGGCATTTGGGATAACTGGTATGTTATTGTGGTTCTGAAATTTCACAGGCATACTTCTGATGAGTTTTTGCTCTTTCCATCATTTACCACTTCTCCATTGGCATGATCAGGAGCCATTC